TAGTACAATTTCAAGTTGCACTGTTCAAAATACCTGTAGTAGCACAGCAGTGCATACGTACCCGTTTACATTTAATTAAGGTGGACTAGATTAGACCGTAATACAAATTGTTGAGTTTGCCAGGTGCATACAACATTTATGACAGGTTTTCATGAAAGTGTTGGTCAGTTTGTCTGCTTGACAATCCCATTTCGCACTGCAACAATAAAACTGAAGTGAGATAAACAAACTGAGAAATGTCAAATGTCAAAACAGATGTCAAAGTTTTCCTTTGGGGACATAATTTGAAGTTGGAAAAAGGTAATAAATTGCAATATATCGCAATATGTTTAAAATCGCAATAATATTGTATCGTGACACAAGTATCGTGATGCCTCTGGTGATTCACACCCATATTACATAGGCTTTTGTGCTTAGAAACTAATAGTTGCATCACCTTATTCCAGGGTTCGAAAAAGAAAGGAGGAGAAGCTAAGGGAACAGGAGCAGAAATTAAAAGAAAAACATGAAAAACTCAAAGAGGAGGCAAGAAATGGAGACCATGTGTCAGGGTAAGCTGAACCAATAAACCTTTCTCAATACTCAATCCCTGGGTTTTGGGACACAGCTTACATTCCAGTCCACATGTTTGATTAAACTTGTCTCTGTCTGTTGGTTGTAGAGAGGAGATGGACATCATCAGCACAGAAAGTCAGGAAGGTCATGCTGAGCAAAACACAGAGGATGAGGAGGAGCAACCAGCCAAATCTAAAAAATGTATCAGCTTTTAAAATTATCAGCAGAAGTATCAAGTTTACTTTAAGATAAATTCTTGGTCTTATTATGATAGATTTTTCAGTGCATGTTATTAAAAGAGAAAAAAATAGATAAAATAGTTAATAAACCTGCAAGTGGTATGAGAAATGTTGAACTTAATGATTAATGGTTACATTTATGCATTTGGCAGACACTTTTATCCAAAGAGACTTACATTGCATTTACATTACATTTTATCAGTTCTTGCTTGCCCTGAGAAATGGTTGTTTAAATTATGTAGCAAATATATTCCTATGTTTTTGTTTTCCAGTAAAGAAAACAAATGACCTCCCAAAAGAGAAACAGGTTGGTGAGGTTGAAATGAAAGACAGTCTGAGCCCAGAGGAGTTACAGCAACAGCAGCTCAAAGAGAAAGAACTTCTGGAGCGCATTCAGAAAGCTATGGCCTGCACCTACATCCTGCCTCTCGGCCGAGACCGCCTTTATCGCCGCTACTGGATTTTTACTTCTGCCGGGGCACTGTTTGTAGAGGAAGACTTCTTTGGCCTGACAGAGGACATGCTAGAGCCCCATCCGACTCCCGAACCCAAAATAGAAGAGTTTTCCTCAACTGAGAGCCCTGTTAAGACAGATGCCACCACTGAGGACCCAATGCTGGTCCAGAACACCTCACCGTCAGTCAACCGGCCAAATCAGTGGTTCTTCTACAGCACACCTGAGGAGGTGGAGCAGCTCATAGAGGCTCTAAACCCTCGTGGGCACAGAGAGAGCAGCCTTAAAGAGACACTTCTGCAGGAGAAGGAGCGCATTGTTCAACTGATGGATAGCAAAGCTGTTCAGCGTTACCATCACTCAGGTACTGTGATTTTTTTGGAGCCAGGTTCCTAAGTAATGTTACGTTTTAGTTTTTGGGTGCCTGTGACTAAAGGGTTAGTTCACCCAAAAATGAAAATTCTGCAGTGTTTCCCATACATAAGCTCTACCTGGGCGGCCCGTGCAGGTAAATTGTGAATGGGAACATTGCAGTTGCATTGCTGTCTACGGAGGGTCAGAGAGCTCTCAGATTTTATCAAAAATATCTTAATTTGTGTTCCGAAGATAAACTAAGGTCTAATGGGTTTGGAATGACATGAGGGTGAGTAATTAATGACAGAATTTTCATTTTTGGGTGAACTAACCCTTTAAGAGAAGACCTCTTATCAGTTCTTGCTCTCCCTAAGAAATGGTTGTTAAAATTCTGTTGCAAATATCTATAGAATTCCTTTATTTTTGTTTTCCAGTAAAGAAAACAAATGACACACCAAAAGAGAAGCAGGTTGGTGAGGTTGAAATGAAAGAGGAGTTACATCAACCGCAGCTCAAAGAGAAAGAGCTCCAGGAGCGCATTCAGAAAGCTATGGCCTGCACCTACATCCTGCCTCTCGGCCGCGACCGCCTTTATCGCCGCTACTGGATTTTCCCTTCTGCTGGGGCACTGTTTGTCGAGGAGGACTTCTTTGGCCTGACAGAGGACATGCTAGAGCCCCGTCCTACTCCCGAACCCAAAATAGAAGAGCTTTTCTCAGCCAAGAGCCCAGTTAAGACAGATGCCACCACTGAGGAGCCGGTGCTGGTCCAGAACACCTCGCCGCCAGTCAACCGGCCCAATCAGTGGTTCTTCTACAGCACACCTGAGGAGGTGGAGCAGCTCATAGAGGCTCTGAACCCTCGTGGACGCAGAGAGAGCAGCCTTAAAGAGACTTTGCTGCAGGAGAAGGAGCGAATTGTTCAACTGATGGATAGCAAAGCTGCTCAGCGGTACTATCACTCAGGTACTGTGGGAGCCAGGTTCCTAAGTAATGTTACATTTGATTTTTAAATATGGGTTTAGTGCCTGTGACTTTTTTTGATACCGATGTCTGTTGCAGAGGAGTATGATCATTTTAATAATTGAACCATTAATAAATGATAATCAGTAATTATTGATGATACCGGAGCACCAAATCAGCATGTTAGAATGATTTCTGAAGGATCACTGAAGACTGAAGTAATGGCTGCTGAAAATTCAGCTTTGTCATCTCAAGAATAAATAGCATTTTGAAATATTATTACAATTTAAAATAATTTTCTTTATATTTAACAATATTTCTCTTGCTATATTTTTGATCAAATAAATGCAGCCTTGATGAGCATAATAGAAAAAAATGAATTATACATTTTTTTTCAAACTGTACTATATTTAATTTATTATGCAGATGAATCTCTGCCAGAGACCAAAGGAAGTACTTTAAAGCCAAAACCTGGCCCATCTTACCCACAAAGCACTGTACCTGCTGAGCGCTTCATGGAGAATCGTCTCAGAGATCTACTACTGGATATTGAGGACCGCATCTATCAGGGAACTCTGGGGGCAATTAAAGTATGTTGATTGTGTCGACCACATTCCATAGCTGTAAATATTGTATTTCTTATAGTGATGTGGCTTGATCTGGATCTTTGTTAATGGTAACCTGACTTTTTTTCCCCTTCCTTTTTTTTTCCCCTCTTTACCCTGAAAAGGTGATGGACAGAAACTCATGGAGAGCCGCACTGGAAAACGGGAACTATGAACTGCTAAATCCCCAGTCCAAAGAGAACGGGCTGATCAACGGAGAAGAGGAGCCAATGGAGATTTATGAGAATCACATCAGAGTCAAAGACAGGTTATTTTACTTTAATGTCTGTTAGCTGTTTATTTTTATTTCTGTGTTCAAACTAGTGGTGCAACGGATCACAAAACTCACGGTTCGGATCATATTATGGATTTTGAGTCACGGATCGTTTTTCAGATCAGCAAAAAATATATATATAAATTAGTGAAAGCTTACTTTAAGTACTTCTATACCACTAACTAATCCTGATGGATAGCAAAGCTGTTCAGCGTTACCATCACTCAGGTACTGTGATTTTTTTGGAGCCAGGTTCCTAAGTAATGTTACGTTTTAGTTTTTGGGTGCCTGTGACTTTCTTTTTTTTTTTTATACTGATGTCTGTCGCTGATGAGCATGATCATGTTAATAATTGAACCATTATGAATAATTGAGAATCAACCATTTCTGATGATATCTGAGCACCAAATCAGCATATTAGAATGATTTCTGAAGGATCACTGAGGACTGAAGTTATGGCTGCTGAAAATTCAGCTTTGATACATTTTTAATATTTCACAATATTACAGATTTTTTTTTTTTACTGTATTTTTGATCAAATAAATTCAGCACTGGTGAGCATAAGAGGGAAAAAAATAATTATTCATTAATCCAAATTATGTGTCATTTATTGTGCAGATGAATCTCTGCAAGAGACCAAAGGCAGCACTTTAAAGCCAAAAGTTGGCCCGTCTTACCCACAAAGCACTGTACCCGCTGAGCGCTTCATGGAGAACCGTCTCCGAGATCTACTACTGGATATTGAGGATCGCATCTATCAGGGAACTCTGGGAGCAATTAAAGTATGTTGATTGTATTGACCACATTCCATAGTTTTAAATATTGTATTTCTTACAGTGTGATGTGGCTTGATCTGGTTTTTCCCCCTCCCTTATTTTTATATTTTCTCACTGCACAAGTTAAATACAGATTAATCTTTGTTAGAGCTGTGGTGTTATTTGATTAGCAGACAGAAACAGGTATTTATTGGCTGCTGTCTCTTTAAGACCAAATGCACAGACCTAATACTGACACACATCCGTTTTCTTTCTCAGCTGTTTACCTTTACTAAGGACATAACTGACTGTGTTTACTAGAATACTTGCTAAAACGGGTATTTTAACATAACTTTGTGTGTATGTGAAAGAGGAATCAATTCGCTGTTCACGCGGTGTCTCTCTCTCTCTCTGTGTGTGCGGCAGCGGCTGAGCGCACAGAAAATAGCGCACGATTTAAAATTGCTTGAATGTGTAAACTGGCAAGACAAAACATGTGCAAATGATAAACTTTAACTCTATGATGTTAAACTTAACCGTTAATCCGTGAATCACATGCGTGCCGAACCGTGCAGCCTGATCCGTACGGATCACGGATCATCTACAATCCATTGAACCCCTAGTTCAAACAGAATCTGGTGCTCCTACAAGCTAACAGCAGTGCCTGCGATTGTGCGAACTGATGATGTTTTTCTCACGTTTAGGCCGCAAGAATTGAAGGCCGAGGGTCAGAGTGCCACGTCCACTACTGTGAGCACACCACAGCCTGTCAATAACATTGTCCACTATTTGGCACACGCTCTTGCACAGATAGAGCAGGGCATAGAGCGCAAGTTCCTGAAAGCTCCACTAGGTAAGATCTGTTACTTCTATGGTTTCTTCTGAAACTTTGAGGGTATAGGGGTGTGTTCCTGAAAACTATATGGATAATTGTTTTGTTTGTAGGAACATGTTTTTGTTTAATTTTTTAATTCGTTAATCCATAGGCTCTTATTTCTTTTTTTTTTTTGTAATTCACTGTTTATTATTTTGATAGAACACACAAAAAAACATTACAACAAAGGAGAGAAAACCTATTAAATAAACCATTGCCCTCCCAGAACCTCCCCCCATCGCACCGCACCGCAGGACCCACATAAACACAAAAGTAAAACAATATAAAAGCAAATATATATATAAAAATATATACAAACAAAATTGGTAATAATATTAACAACAGAATGACATCTTTAGATTAAATAACCAAAATCTTCGAGACTATGGAAATCCAGTTCTTCCAAATAGATAAAGTAGCAGGCTTTGCGTAATTAGTCCGTGCAGAAGACAGTTCCAGATATAGTATTTCCAATAAGGAATGAATCCAGTGCTTAGCAGAAAGGTCATGAGGGGGTTTCCAGCGTTGAACTAGTAATTTCTTTGCCGCAGTCAAAGCTGCTAGCCAAAATTTCCGTTCTTTCTCACTTATAGAAAATTGAGAATTATCATTCAACAATAAAATAACAGGATCTTTGGGAAAACGAATCTTGATAACCTTGTATAAAACATCAAGCACAATGTCCCAAAATGTTTGCACATCTGGACAGTCCCATAACATATGTGTCAAGGCAACCTGGTCCACAAAATATGCAATATGGATGGGGTGATATACCCATAGCATAACGTATACGTGTAGTTAAATATGCTCTCTGAATAATTTTAAAGTTAATGAATTTGTGATTAGAGTTTGAGGACGCGTGGAATGTATTATCCCACACTGTGTCCCATTCAATGCTTCTATTATAGGGAGTCAAATCGGATAACCACGCTCCAGCTTTAGGGAATTTATCTGTATTAAGATTTGAAAAGCAAAGGTAAAAATAAGAAACAATTCCTATGCTTGGCGCATTTTGAATCCATTGCGTTACTGGGTGAATTTGAAGATTATTACCCCAAGGAACCTTTTGAGATTTTAATGCAGAACGAAGTTGAAAATATAGAAATAACGTGTTACGGGAAATATTAAATCTTTCAATTAAGTCTTGAAAATCTAAAATTGATTTCTCTCCATTTATATCGTTTAACGTTAGAATACCTTTTGAAACCCAAGTTGGCTGTGCAAATGGTTGTCCACCAGAAAGCAGATTCAGATTGTGCCATACGGGAGTATGAGTATGCCATATAGTTTTAGATGGAAAAAGGGATTCAATCTTTTTAAATATTTGGAGAGTATAGGAAAGTATAGGTCCATAATGTAATGAGCACTTCCTATACGTAAGGCCAGAACAAAAAAAATCTTGCAAACGAACTGGTGAAATAAGCTCTTGCTCTATTTCTTTCCACGAGGACTATGAACAAGGATCAAACCATTTCTTAACCGAGAGCAGAATAAAGGACCAATGATACCATTTAAAATTTGGGCAACCCCATCCGCCTTTCATTTTAGTTCTTTGAAGTGTAGACCACTTAACGCGGGGACGTTTTCCATTCCAAATATATTTTATTAGTAAAGAATCTAGTTTTTTCCAATAATTTGTAGGTGGGGGGAGAGGAAGCATGGAACTAACAAAATTGATGCGAGGCAGAATATTCATTTTTATTACTGACATTTGGGCAGAAGGTGATGAGGGCAGATACATCCATCTTTGAATATCAGACTCAATTTTTCCATAAATTGACATATAGTTTATTTTTGAGATGAGGGGTAAAGTGGGTCTGAGTTCGATCCCTAAATATTTAACTTGTGTTGATATTAGGATATTGTTTGGAATAGAAAAGTTAAGGCCACCGGAATTAAGAGGCATCAAAATAGTTTTAGAATGATTAGAATGATTATTTTAAATCCCGATAGTATGCCAAATTCATCTATAATTTTGAGGGCGTTAGGAAGTGAGCGCTGCAAGTCAGATAGAAATAATAAAGTGTCATCTGCATATAAGGAAATAGAATGGCTTGATGCGCCTAACCGAATTGGTGTAATAAGACTGCACTGTCTAACATACTGTGCCAGGGGTTCTATTGATAAGTTGAACAAAAGGATAGGCTCTTATTTCTAAATGTTTTGTTTTTAATCAGGTGATGAGGATGCCAAGAAAGACCAGAAGTTGAAGAAAAAGGACAAAAAGAAAGATGACGACCAGTCCAGCGAGAAAGATGGTAAGATTTCTTGTTTACCTGAAAAACTGAAAGCGTTTGCCCTTTTAACACGTTGATTTAAATTATAATTACTAAACCTGTTTTCCTCAACAGATGGCAGTGAAAGTGGGCGGCAGGTGAAAACTGTGCAAGAACGCTGGCGTGAGTCTTTGTTGGCCTGCTCCAGCTTGTCGCAGGTTTTCCTGCATCTTTCCACACTTGAGCGCAGCATAGTCTGGGCCAAATCCATCCTCAACGCCCGCTGTAAGGTGTGTCGTAGGAAAGGAGACGCTGAGAACATGCTTCTATGTGACGCCTGTGACAGAGGCTATCACATCTTCTGTGTTCGGCCAAAACTGAAGGTGAGAACCATAGTTTTTGGAAGGTTTTATTTAGTGGACACCTTATTAACTGTTCTTTTTCATAAACCCTGACTTGCCATGCAGACGTAAAGTGTGTACGTATAAACTAACACATGCAGCCAAGGACAAAAAAAGGAAAGGAAAATAGACATGTATATCAGCAATCTGTTAATAAATGATTGTATATAAACACAAAAGTAAAACAATATAAAATCAAATATATATATAAAAATATATACAAACAAAATTGGTAATAATATTAACAACAGAATGACATCTTTAGATTAAAGGACCAAAATCTTCGAGACTATGGAAATCCAGTTCTTCCAAATAGATAAAGTAGCAGGCTTTGCGTAATTAGTCCGTGCAGAAGACAGTTCCAGATATAGTATTTCCAATAAGGAATGAATCCAGTGCTTAGCAGAAAGGTCATGAGGGGGTTTCCAGCGTTGAACTAGTAATTTCTTTGCCGCAGTCAAAGCTGCTAGCCAAAATTTCCGTTCTTTCTCACTTATAGGAAATTGAGAATTATCATTCAACAATAAAATAACAGGATCTTTGGGAAAACGAATCTTGATAACCTTGTATAAAACATCAAGCACAATGTCCCAAAATTTTTGCACATCTGGACAGTCCCATAACATATGTATCAAGGTGTCAAGGCAACCTGGTCCACAAAATATGCAATATGGATGGGGTGATATACCCATAGCATAACGTATACGTGTAGTTAAATATGCTTTCTGAATAATTTTAAAGTGAATGAATTTGTGATTAGAGTTTGAGGACGCGTGGAATGTATTATCCCACACTGTGTCCCATTCAATGCTTCTATTATAGGGAGTCAAATCTGATAACCACGCTCCAGCTTTAGGGAAATTATCTGTGTTAAGATTTGAGAAGCAAAGGTAAAAATAAGAAACAATTCCTATGCTTGGCGCATTTTGAATCCATTGCATTACTGGGTGAATTTGAAGATTATTACCCCAAGGAACCTTTTGAGATTTTAATGCAGAACGAAGTTGAAAATATAGAAATAACGTGTTACGGGAAATATTAAATATTTCAATTAAGTCTTGAAAATCTAAAATTGATTTCTCTCCATTTATATCGTTTAACGTTAGAATACCTTTTGAAACCCAAGTTGGCTGTACAAATGGTTGTCCACCAGAAAGCAAATTCAGATTGTGCCATACGGGAGTATGGGTATGCCATATAGTTTTAGATGGAAAAAGGGATTCAATATTTTTAAATATTTGGAGAGTATAGGAAAGTATAGGTCCATAATGTAATGAGCATTTCCTATACGTAAGGCCAGAAAATAAAAGATCTTGCAAACGAACTGGTGAAATAAGTTCTTGCTCTATTTCTTTCCACGAGGACTATGAACAAGGATCAAACCATTTCTTAACCGAGAGCAGAATAAAGGACCAATGATACCATTTAAAATTTGGGCAACCCCATCTGCCTTTCATTTTAGTTCTTTGAAGTGTAGACCACTTAACGCGGGGACGTTTTCCATTCCAAATATATTTTATTAGTAAAGAATCTAGTTTTTTCCAATAATTTGTAGGTGGGGGGAGAGGAAGCATGGAACTAACAAAATTGATGCGAGGCAGAATATTCATTTTTATTACTGACATTCGGGCAGAAGGTGATGAGGGCAGATACATCCATCTTTGAATATCAGACTCAATTTTTCCATAAATTGACATATAGTTTATTTTTGAGATGAGGGGTAAAGTGGGTCTGAGTTCGATCCCTAAATATTTAACTTGTGTTGATATTAGGATATTGTTTGGAATAGAAAAGTTAAGGCCACCGGAATTAAGAGGCATCAAAATAGTTTTAGAATGATTCATTTTAAATCCCGATAGTATGCCAAATTCATCTATAATTTTGAGGGCGTTAGGAAGTGAGCGCTGCAAGTCAGATAGAAATAATAAAGTGTCATCTGCATATAAGGAAATAGAATGGCTTGATGCGCCTAACCGAATTGGTGTAATAAGACTGCACTGTCTAACATACTGTGCCAGGGGTTCTATTGATAAGTTGAACAAAAGGATAGGCTCTTATTTCTAAATGTTTTGTTTTTAATCAGGTGATGAGGATGCCAAGAAAGACCAGAAGTTGAAGAAAAAGGACAAAAAGAAAGATGACGACCAGTCCAGCGAGAAAGATGGTAAGATTTCTTGTTTACCTGAAAAACTGAAAGCGTTTGCCCTTTTAACACGTTGATTTAAATTATAATTACTAAACCTGTTTTCCTCAACAGATGGCAGTGAAAGTGGGCGGCAGGTGAAAACTGTGCAAGAACGCTGGCGTGAGTCTTTGTTGGCCTGCTCCAGCTTGTCGCAGGTTTTCCTGCATCTTTCCACACTTGAGCGCAGCATAGTCTGGGCCAAATCCATCCTCAACGCCCGCTGTAAGGTGTGTCGTAGGAAAGGAGACGCTGAGAACATGCTTCTATGTGACGCCTGTGACAGAGGCTATCACATCTTCTGTGTTCGGCCAAAACTGAAGGTGAGAACTATAGTTTTTGAAAGGTTCGATTCAGTTGACACCTTATTAATTGTTCTTTTTCATAAACCCTGATTTGCCATGCAGACTTAAGGTGTGTATGTATAAACAAACACATGCAGCCAAGGACAAAATAGACATGCATATCAGCAATCTGTTCATAAATTATTGTATATGTATTTGTAAATAGAAATTCTCTTAAACTTCTGACGAAAGTTTTGATATTCCTTCATTTGTTTTACAGGCTGTTCCTTCTGAAGACTGGTTCTGCCCTGAATGCCGCCCCAAACAGCGTTCCCATAGAATCAACTCCCGTCAGCGTTCCTCTATTGACTCTGAAGAAGAAATGGAGGACGAGGAGGAGTCTGAACAAGAGGAAGAAGAATCAGAAGAGGAAGATGAGTCAGAAGAAGAACAGTCAGAGAAGGAAGAGTTAGTTGACTTGGATTTTTCTTTATTTTGATCTTTTTTATTTTTTTTTGCCGGTCTACTAATTGAATGCGGAAAAATTTAATCAACATTGTTTTCTTTTTTCTTATTTATTTAACAGTGTGTCCAAGAAGGCTGCTGTCAAACTGCCTCCACATAGCAATAAAGGAGTTCGTTTGAACACCAGATCAAAACAGGCTGAATCAAGTCATAACATGCCTCGCTCGCAGCAGAGCACATCCAAACAGAATCAGTCTGCTAATAAAGGAGGCTCCAAAAACTCAGGCAAGAAGTCCACCCCGGTGTCCAATGGCAAGCCCCCTCCCCGGGCAGGAAGCCGCTCCAGTGCTCGTCTTAGTCTAGAGGTGCTCACTACTAATGGCACAACAACCAAATCCAACCAGCCCAGTCCTACAGCAGAGAATACAGACTCTAGGAAGAGACCCATTACTGGTAAGGAGTGTCAGTGAATTCACACACACAAAATAAATAAATAAATCAGCTTAACATAAAGGAAATTTGATTTACTGCATCACATCAAATTAGGATACTATGGCTAAAATAAAAATACTGTGGCTAAAACAAAAATAAAAAAGGTAATTATGACTTCTCTCACAATTAAGACTCAAAAATGTCTGTTTTTTTTTTTTCTGGCATGGAGTTAAAAAAAAAAAAGAAGCTAATCTCACAGTTCTGACTACTTTTTGTGTAATTGCAAGTTTATAGGTAACAATTCTGACTTTTTTTTCTCAGAATTGAGTTTGTATTTCACAATTGCAAGTTATAAACTTGTAATTGTGATTTTACATCTCGCAATTAAGTTTTTTTTTTTTTTATGTTTCCAGATCAAAATTTAAAAAAAGAGACTTTTTAAGCTTGGATTGGAGAAAATTACATGATTAATCTTTAACTTAATGCAGACACTTGTTATTCTTCCCGTTTCATTTTTTCTAAGACTTCTTGTTCACATCTCATGTATTGTGGTTTGCCACCGTTTCTCCAGCAGAGGTCTCCCCAAAAGCCAAGATCGTTTTGGCTCCAGCCACCACTTCATCCAACCGTCGAAGCTCAGGGAGAAACTTAGGCGTCCACGAGCTGTCAGCCTGTGAGCTGCTCACTGTGGACCTGGTCAGACACGAGGACAGCTGGCCTTTCAAGAAACTAGTGTCCAGAACTCAGGTAGTGCATTTAGAAGTTAAGAGCTGTTCACACTTATAACCCTCTGTAACAAGGTCATAGAGCTCCCATTCTTGGTTGGTTTACGACCAGCTGTACTCCTAAATAATCTGTGCAGTTATGTGAGATCTCGCTTTCCCAGTTTTACACTGAGGCATTATTTTCATAGTTTTAATGACTACTTTTATTGCACATATTTCCAGGTGCCTGATTACTATGACATAATCAAAAAACCCATCGCCTTGAGCACAATCAGGGAAAAGGTCAACAACTGTGAATATCAAACTGCTGGTAAGTTAATCATTTTGTTTTGTGGAAGCAAGGATTAAATAAAACTAGTTGTCACAAGTCAATATTTAACAATAAGGTTTTCAAATTCACCTAGTTCAAAACCCTCTGATGTCAGAATATTTTTTTTATGAATTTTGTCTATTTACATTTACATTCATGTTTTTTGAAGACGCTTTCATACAAAGCGGCTTGCTTTGCATCTAAAGTACACATTGCATCTAAGGGGGGATGGAATTGAAGGTTTTCTCTACACAAATTGACTTTCAAAAACAGAAATATCCACTTGAGTATATGAAAATGTAATTTAGAATTAACCTTATCTAACCCACCTTAACAGCTTGAAATAGTCGCACAACATAAATCTTTGCTAAATGTAATTTATTTTGTGTTATTAATCTTGTAGCGGAGTATATAGAGGATGTGGAGCTCATGTTTTCCAACTGTCTGGAGTACAACCCACGTAACACCAATGAAGCAAAGGCCGGTCCACGGCTGCAGGCCTTCTTCCATTCTGAACTTCAGAGACTCGGCCTGGCTGAACGCATGACTCCACCACAGAAACGGTCACGGATGTAAACAAAAGCCCATCTTCCACACAAGCTCGCCAACTGGCCGAGACTGAAGACCAGTTCATAATCCGCTGTCTAATTATGTTGTTCTATTGCATTTGTGGAATGTTCATGAACATTCCGGTGTGGTGTGAATCATTAAAAAATTCTACCTAGCTCTTGCAGTGTGAAGTGTGCAAGCAAAACGGCACTCAAGCAGCGGATATCAAGCGGCATTTATCTTCACAGCCAGTGACAGGACTATAAATTGGCCTTTAATCCTATGGAGCAAAGAATAAGTCCTTCACTAGCAGAAGAAAGGAAAAACAGCTGTGCTGTGAAGAAAAAACATTTTTGCACTGTTTTCTAAAAAGTGTTTTGCATTCACATATTAACTCAGGACAAAAAGCATTGTGTTTTTGTCTGCAATTTCAAAATGGTGCTTGTTTTTTTTGTACCTCAAATGCATTTCTAGACTACTATTTTGTATAGATTTTTACAGACCTGAGTCTCCTTTTTGATGATAAATTAAGTCTCACAGCTCAAAGGAACAAACAGAATTTGTGTTTTGTAGTTGTATAGATTAACTCAGTTCTTTCGTTCAGGTCCCTATAGATTGCATAAACACTAAGTAGGAACCAAAACATCCCATTTTGTTGCTTCCCTTTTCAGTTTTTGGTTATTTATTATTAGATTTGGGTATAATTTGCTTGCTTTATTTATAAAATTGTCTTTATAGGTTATGTGTCCCCCCCCCCCC